CCATAATAAATCTTTTTTTTGTTGAAATCCATAGTTTATGTAATATTAGAGATATCTTTTAGGCATAAGCTCCTAGCTTTTTAGTTCCTAATCCATTCTTTAAAAAAAAAAAAAAATCTAAAGCTCACTTAGCCCACAAAAGAAATGCTATGGTCACCCATCACTCTGACCTAAAGAAGACAACAGAGACTCCAAAGGATGCCAGCGATCAAAAACAGCCCCCCTCCTGTAAGCCCGTGCAGACTTCACGCTTTATTTTTCTCCTGAAGGCTTATCCATGTGAAAATGAACAATCTTCTAAGAAACTCTCAGACCCCACATTTACTCTGACTTAGTTGTAGGGGCTCTCCCTGAAAATGTGGCAGGAAATGTTTCTTTTAATCTCTGTGGCTTCATATTTTTGCTACCATGATGCCGAATTCAGTACTCACTTTGACTCTCTGAAAAGGATTTGACACCCAGACGTTTACATTCATTTTTTAGTTCCATGACAATTCATAAACCTATTCAGCAAATATTTCACTTGCATGTAAGGCTCTGAATTAACCATCAAGGCTACGAAGATGAATAAAAATGTTTCTGCCCCAAAGAACTTTAGCGGCAGAGACGTAAATGTGTAGCCGCACACATACAGACCACATATACACTCAACACTCAATAAAACGGAAATAGCGATAAGTAGAAAAAGAATTATGAGATAAAGAGAATGCTATTAAATCAGGACTAAACTAAAATATATTAATGACTTCTAGTAGCAGTAAAATTAGTTAATTATTTATAAAACAGAACAAGTTGCTTTGTTTCTATTTCAACAAGATCATTACTGGATCAAAACTGCTTGTTAAACCGTGAACCAAGTTTAATAAACAAGATGTGCTTTCCTGTGTGATTTTATTCCTAGAACCTATCATTGTTTAGTGATTATAACGTTTTTCACTGAGGTAATGATAAAAATCTATGATGACTACATATTACCAAAGCATAGGCTGATTGTTTGATTATCATTGCAATTAAAGGGTTTTTTTTTCTCAAAACATATAACGTCTTCCACACATTTGCTTCCAACTTAATGAATGGATGAATGAGGATAAGTCCTAGGTTTCTTTGCACTGAACTCTAATACACTCTTGCTTTTGAAATGGACTGTTAGAGGAGTTCCGTGTATGTTATACAACACACATACAAAAGCAGAGAATAATTTAAAACACTATGCCTATGTAAACAGAAATGAAGCCAAAATTGTCTTTGCAGTGTATAATTCTTAATGGTCAGTAGTGATGAATGATTTTACATAAACTGTCTGTAGCAATCAAATAATCAATATAGATTCAACTCAAGAATTGTCTTTGAGCCTGTTATGATAACATGTTTTTGTGGCCTTTACACTTTAGAAAACACATTCACCTCTTTTTTCTCATTTGAGTACGCAGCAACTCTCTGAAAGATGTTATTTTCATGTTCATCTTTTAGAGAAGAAAGCCATAGTTAATAGGACTAATAATTAACAGAATTATGGATCTCAAATCCTATATCCTCTCTAAAAGCTTATATTATCTCTTCTATGTATTAAGCACTCAGTAAGGGGTCCAGAGCAAATCAAACAATTTCTTGATAACTGACGTGTATTGCACTTTTCACCTTACAAAAGATTAACAACTATATTATCCCCTTTGAATGGGACAATGACCTTTTGAGACAAGAGCTCAAATATTAGGGAAACTTAAACACCACTGAGAAGAGGATAAGACAACAGTAGACTATAAGACAGTGTTTGATCTGGGCTTTGGTTGATTGGGAGAGAAGGGACCCTATTCAGGTAGGAAGATCAGGAGAGTCAGTTTGGATTTCAAACACAACTGCAACGAATTGATGCACAAAGCCAAATGAGGGCTACTCATCTTTAAGTTCTGATCCTACATGGCTTCTCTAAAAATCTTCCATACTTCTTTGGTGAAAGACTTTTCAGAGGGGGAAAAAAGAAACTGGAATATTAATTTCAAAAATTAAAAAGCAAGTGTTCCCAGAGAACAAATATTTCTGAAATCATTAAAGAAGAAATGTATATGTCACACCAAATGAATTTCCAAAATGATATTAATCCTAAATAAAAGTGCAGTTATGCGTTATTTAAAAAAAAAATAAACGTAATGATCTAAAATTGAGAAAGTCTGGCTTTAGGAAAATTTGTAAGATTCAATACACTTTTTCACTGTATAGGATAATAACTGTCCAGTCCCAAACATCCATCCCTCTCTCATTCTCAAAATATCAAATCAGGTTATGAGAGCAATGGTATTTTTTTTTAAGATTTTATTTGTTTATTTGAGAGAGCAAACACGAGCAGGGGGAAGGGGCAGAGGGAGAAGCAGACTCTGCTCAAACTCGGCTGCACATCACAACTTCCCTTCACTTGGTGCTGGCCAGCGGTGTGTATATAGTAGGTTAAGGGTCAAAACCTGTAGCGGTTTTTTCCAATGATATGTGGAAGGAAGGCAAGATGAATAAAACCTAGTAATTTTCTGTAACAGTTAAGTTCAGCATGTGTTTGGTCTATATCTCTTGTCTGATTTGCCTTCCTTTTATTTTTATTTTTATTTTTTCTGATTTGCCTTCCTTTTACTCCAGATACTTGGGTCATCTTCTCCAGACTAAACCTTTTTGAATAAGCTTGACAGTAATCACTTAAGAATCTTCATAGGACTTTCTATGCTAAAAGTAATGCAGACATCAGAGAAAAGGGAATTTATGCCACTTGCTTTCCTCTGGACACTCACTATATGAGGATAAAGAGTGTAGCTTTGAAAGCAGAATTTACATCATCACTACATTAGTTATATTGTTCTATGGAGAAAACGGACACTAACAAGTTGATAGAAAAACAACATGGAATGTATAGTCTGTATCTATATGTGGAAAGTTAATGTGAAGAAAAAGAGCCTAGATTGTGTCATTTTAAGATGCCTGCAATAATTGTTGTTAGCCTTTTTGGATCCACACCATCTCTTCTTCACCTGAGGAATGAGGCCTCAGACCCACAGTTTTTCACTGTTATTCCCTGTTCTTTCCAGTCCTCTCGTCCCATGCTTACTGGTGGTGGTGTTATCTTGACATATTCCCAATGAGGAGCATGTGTCTCCCTTTTTCTATGTAACAGTACACATTTATGTAGCCCCCCTTCATAGTGTGCAAAACATTTCCCAAGTATAAGCTGTGTTAATCCTCACAGCAAACCCAGAGGCAGGTGTTTTTGTTATACAGATGAAAGCTGACCTACTGTTATACAGATGAGGGAAAGCTGTTCTAATGACCTGACCAAGTGACCAAAACAGACTCAAGGCCAGTGTGCATGACTCTACTGGTAAGTAGCTAAGCTTGACCTAGAATCCTGTCCTCCGACAGCAGGGCCAAGGCACAACCCTACCCTTTTGTCTGATTCTCAATACATAAACGTTAGTATTTGGAGAATTAAAATACAAGAACACGTGTGTAGCTGTCATTAAAATTTTAAACATCTTATAGAAGAGGATACCTGCTTATTTATACATCATTTTTGTCAGTTTATTGATTTACATGTTAGTTGTATTAGAAAAGATTTGTGCTGAGTCGAAATATATGTATACCACTGCTTACTTTCTTTTTAACTCACATTATGAAAAAGACTACGAATAAACATGCCTCAATTTATTTGGCTCTATAAACTATCTTTATTGCCATGAAAGATAAATAAATAAGTTTAAAATGTAGCATCTTTTAAAACTCAAATCAGGGGCACCTGGGTGTCTCAGTTGGTTACGCATCTGCCTTTGGCTCAGGTCATGGTTCCAGGGTCCTGGGATCAAGCCCCACATCGCCCTGATCCATGGAGATCCTGCTTCTCCCTCTCCCTCTGCCTGCTGCTCTGCCTACTCATGCTCTCTCTCTCTCTGTCAAATAAATAAATAAAATCTTTAAAAAAAAACTCAAATAATGTGATAATTGATAAAATAACAATAATCAAAATGAGAGAAAACCACACAGCTTTTGAGATAACCATGTACACACAGGAATAAGTTAGAGAAGGAGGTACATTAAATGATCTTGTTTATTCAATACCCAAACCTTTCTTGATATTTTTATAAGAAATGAAAACCAACCACTAGGGGAGATAATTATTAGGTTGTCAGCATAATTCCCATCTGGGCGAATTTCTGTAAATGGAATGTGCACACCCTGGTAATTAGAGGGTATTCTATTAATGTAGAATGTAGTTTCATTTGTTGAGCACTTATTATTTGCAAATAACTCTACTAAACTCATTGATTTACTATTCCAAACCCTGGAAGTTAAGAAATAGTTATCCTAATTGTACAGATGAGAAAACTGAGGCACAAGGAGGGTTAACCATTTTGGCTTTGCATCACAAAGCTGGTAAATCTAATGCCAGAATTTTGTTCTTAACCATTGCAGATAACCACATCTGCCAATGGAATTTAGAATCTAAAATGTCAGAGTATTGTTCACATAGACAAGTTGTCTGGAAGACAATGCATATGCTTTTGTACTTTTTTTCCTCAGTGCATTTTTGTCTTTTTCACTTAGATTTGAACTTGTCAATGAACTTTCTTCATCTTCCTTCCTTGAGTGAACAAGTTCTGTGTTTCATTTGATTTTTGTCCTTTATTTTTGCTGTATTTTTTCCTCGGAGAGCATATCCCTATTAGAAAAGAATATATATATAGCCAGGAAGATCCATCTCTTCAAGTAAATCATTATTACTTTATATACTAGTACCATCTGGTCTTCCTAATTTTTGATAATTCCATTTAAAAAATAAATCTACTTAAATGAAAATATACACAGGTATAGGCATATAATTTACATGACTGAATAAATTCAAGTGGAACATAATAATACCTTATCTTCCTCACACAGATTTACCCTTTCATAGACTGTTTTTCATGGTTTATCCAAATGGCTCATGAGCAACCCAAGGTAGTAGTCATTTGCTTTCTCCCCCCCAGAAGCTCAGAAGAAGCAATTGGAAGAAAGTATAGAGCTGATCCAAGATGAATGTGTGTCAGAGAATGCAGATCACTCTACAGAGGAGCCTGCTGAAGGAGGGCCAGATGCGGATGGAGAAGAGATGACTGATGGGATAGAGGAGGACTTCGATGAAGATGGGGGTCATGAGCTGGTAGGAACTAAACATTTGGTGTTCACACCCTTTGGTAACAGCACCAGCATGTCAGCAACTCATTCATTCTAAAATAAAGATTTAATATTTGGGGCTTATTTCATTCTTATCTACATATATGCAAGGCAACATCAGTATAGTGCTTTGCACATAATAAGTGCTCAATACATTTCTGCAAACTTAAAATATGACAGAGTAAATGAATGGACAGTTGAAATATTATAGATGACATCAGCTATAGTTAAAGTGAAATGAAAGATTCTCTTTCCCAATTGCTCCATCATGAAAGGAATCTTGCATTTGAGCAATTATATGTGAACTGTACATGGATATAATATTCTGGCTACAAATGACCATCTAATGGAAAATACATGGCTCCCTCTCTTATTAGTGTCATTCAGTGATGATAATTATCTTTACTAGTTGTATGGCCAACAGTTATTTCTGTAGTCTGAAGACTAAGATGACCCTTGATATATGGCTGGTTCACCATCTTTAGTGCATGTACTGCTTGATAGCCAGTTTTTATGAGTTGGGGTTTTAGCCCAGACTTGATTCCTTGTATGTTTTATTTTCCCAATGTTGTTATAATCATAGTGCTCACTTCTGATGGTCTTTCCTGTATACATACACCAGGGACTTTGTAAATATATGCTGATGAGGATGCAATTTCTCATATTTTATCCTCCATGAAATTAAACATACTATCTTAAAGGGACTGACTACTAAAAATGATGAGACGACAAGTTTGAGTGTGCGTGTGTATGTGTGTGTGTGGCCAGCTCTCAAATATCTGTGGACTAATCATATTAAACTTCACTTATCCCAGGTAATTTCAGATTCCAGTTTGTTACAATACCTATTATTACTTAATGAATTTTGTCATGGTGGTTGTTGTTTTGGTGTGGTAACCACCCTACCAATAGTTTCATTTTGGAAGCTATATATTGATTTTTGGCATTCCGGTTCTGTTTAAATTGCATGGGGCCTTCATTTAAACTTTTCAAATAGTCTTTAGAGTCTTTAATAACCACCCTTATTTCTCCAGAAATTGGCATCAGCTTGAAGGAATTAAGTCACTTTTTAGAATGGTTTTGATTTCAAGAAATCTATTAAGCAGGATAGAATGAAAGATTAACAGACCTTTCAGATTTTCCTTAGGCCAAACTTTCATTCAATAACTTAATTTCCTCAACCCTTTGTAATCAGACTTCTGTTTTTACCATTCTATTGTGAGTGCTTTTGCCAAGGTCTATGCAGCCCTCTGTGTTGCCATTTCCAATGGTTACCTCTCTGTTCTTATTTTCATTTACTTCTCAGCAAAATTTGGCTAAGAACCAATTAGGGGAATTCTGAGAAATTCTCCTATGATACCAAGTGCTCATTCTCATTTTCCTGTGTTAGAAACTTTCACTCCATACTCCCATTTCAAATATTAGAGTAGCCCAGGGCTTTGCCATATCCTACTTTCTCTTTCTACTCTTTTCCAGGATGACTTCATTAAATAACAGAGTTTTAAATATCATCTATAGGCCAAAGATTCCCAAATCTAAATTTGTATTCCTTATCTCTTCCTAGAATTCTAGACTCAGACATTTAGGTGCCCATCTCTTCACAGATGTCCTCCAATAAACCACTGAAACTCAACATGACCAAAACATTCTTGGTTTTCCTCCAGTCATCTTATCCCTTCCCAGTCTTCATTCTGATAAACAACTTCATTATCCACATAGTTGTTAAAACCAAGGAGGCTAGGATTACCTTTGATTCTCTCCACCCTCCCCCATTAAATCTACTTCCAAATCATAACCCAAAGCTAATTACATCTCCACTACAACAAACTGATTTTCTTGGTTCAGCTCATGCAATCCATTCTCCACACAAGAAAGATAAAATTCTTTATAAACTATACATCAGATAATTTTACTCCCTTGCTTAAAATCCTACAACAGTTTCTATGACACTTAAAATAAAAATCCCCAAGTGTATGAATGTAAATTGTAATGAGGTTCGGTGTTGACAATGCCAGTGGAGAGAGAGAACTTCATGAAGAGAAAGGGAGAAAGTTCCTGATGCTGCAGGGAAAGGAATCTAGAACACAGCTATATGGGGCTGGCCCTCAACATGAAGAGGAACGTTTTTCCACTGCAACTAGCTGCAATAAGTCTGAGGATTTGGTGGCAGGGGTTTAAGGGAGTTCAAGCACAAACTATATAAGTCAGAGGGTGATGATCTCTGGAGAGTGAGAAGAGACAGACAGGACCACAGATTGGAGGAGAATGGAGATTTAAAGAAGCTAGTATGTAAAACATAGAGGGGCACTAATTTAGAAAACAAATAAAGATTGACAGCTAGTGTTAATAGCCAATTGAGGTTAAAGACAAAGGTTTAATGCAGTAGTATTTTTTTTTAACTTTAGTGTATATCAAGATTAACTGGAGAACTTGTTAAAATACGGACTGTTGTATTTCATTCCTAGAGTTTCTGATTCAGTATGCTGAGTGAATCTGGGACTGCCTGTCTGGGGACCGTACTTTGAGAAACACACTGTTGTAGAGGCATCAATCAGCCCAGCTGTGCAGCTTTCTCCATTAGCTTGTATCAGCCCTGGTAGAAGCACGGAGAAAGCCAATACATTCAGTTGGATTTTGTCAGATAAGTGCAAAGAAAAATAACAAATAAAGAACATTGAGGACATTAGTAAAGAGTGGCTAACTAGATGAATCATGGAGTTGAACCTGAGCAGGGTAGATGGGAACACAGAAGGGGACTGACAAGTAGAAAATAGAGACAGAAAGGGAAAGTCCTATGCCTTTAAAGGAAGGGGAAATGAAGTGCATATGAGAAAAGTGAAGGTTGTACTTAGAGATTTGAGATATTTTAGACACGTGACAGTTAAGTGATAAGGAGATCCATAGGAGGCGGTGATGGAAGTGGGATCAGAGCAAAAGTCACTGCATATGAAGATTTCAAGGAACTTCGAGGCTCAGCAGCAAGACTGGTCATCTACATGGGCATGAAATCACTCCAAATATCAGATAAAAGTAAAAGAAGTAAAATAAGACAATTACCAAAAGTCAGCTGCCATGAAAGAGATGGCATGGTCAGTGTTAGTCCCAGATCTGTCACTATCCAATCCAATTGAATCACCTTAAAACCAATAACTTCTCTGAGTCTCAGCTTTCTTATCTGTAAAAGTAGTAAGGTTAGATCAGAAGTTTCTAAAATCCATTCTGTTTGATCTTTACTCCGAGTGAGTCTGTGTTCCAGGAGCACTACATCTGAAGGAGCAAGTGTTGGTCATGCCAAGGGAATAAATCCAAACCACGGTGTTTGGTTTACACTCTGAATACACAGAAAGTAACTGATTAGCACTATGGCTGCCTGGAGATGCTTGGGTTTTCTGCCTTAACCCTTGTACTATAACTGGGGGCTTAGAATTAAATCCTATCTCTAATATCTCACTTTGTTTTTAAAGACTTGGAAAACAATGAATGAGAATGAGCAATCAAAATAGAGACTGAACAGTCCCTCCTAGTGACTGGCCAAGAGAAAATTCCTCTGTCTGGTGTCCACTGTTTCCTCTTTTCCAGTGTTGGGTCCGTTATCAAAGGAATGAGCCTGAGACAAAGTGAAAGTTATGCAAAGCCTTATTCTATGCCAAGCATCAGAAGTCAGACTGACCGGCCAGGGCCACCTCCGAAGAGAGCGACCCCCCTTTGGTCTTACAGGCTAGTTTTATAGGGCACAACCACAGACCTCTACTTATGTGGTTTTGGCTGATTGGATGTCTTTTACCTGTCTGGCCTTATTTTAGGTGTGTGTTTTAGCAACGATTACCCGGAACCGATATCACTAACTGCTGAGGCATTTATTAAACAACAAAATGGCTACCTAGGCAACATGGTAACAACAAAATGGCTATTTAGGCAATGAAATGGCTATCTAGGCAACATGGAGTCACTCTGGCTAAGCAGGCCCAGGCAGGCCCTAGAGGTTTAACAGGTTTTAACGTGGAATCGGCCCCAACATCCAGACCACATGAACCAGATCATCTGTGGTTCCTGAAAAGAGAAGTAAAAGCATAAATGTTCTCTTTTAAAAAGGCAGATATGGTTACAGATTCAGCAAGAATATAATATAATTAGGTTTTTAACACATGCAGTAGGAGTCAGAAAGAAGAGCTAGAACACATGCTCAGGCAGGTGCTCAAAGAAAATCTGGAATGAACAGGAAACAAGAATTGTATCTGAAGCAAGGGAGATCCAGCCAAATGAGCTAATGGGTCAGTTGTAGGTGGTGGTATCCCTGTGGAGCATGTGAGAAGCTGAAGGCACGAGCTGTCCTTTCATTGTCTAGTTCTAAATATCCAGTTAGTGAAATTGATTTCCATGAAACAATCCATTCAGCTGACATTTGGGTGCCTATTCTGTGTGAACCAGGTGTTATCAAAAATGCAAAGATAACTAAAACTATTGTTTTATGTATGAAATGAAATATTGAAGTAAATGATTCCTTTTTTCAGGTAGCTTAGTGCCCTGTAGAATATTAATTTCCTCATGTAAAAAATAATAGACGTATACTTGATAATTTATAAGCAGCCAGCTAAAGCTAAAAATCTGTGATTCTACAATCATCTACGCCTACATATTTCATTAATGCATGGAGAATAAGACTTGAATGTATTTAAAATAGAACTCTGTATTAATGCTCTATACATACACTAGCATACCACTACCCTACGCCTGTTTCTAAATAAATCCATTTCCAAATATTTATTGATTGAACACTAATGAATGGCACTGAGGTTTTTGCTATGGAAATAAAGAAGGAAAATCCCATGTTTTCCCTCAAGAAGGATATCAACTGACTGAAGATAAAGGCTACGGATTAAAAAAAAAAAAAAAAAGGCAGTATGTTATGGTAAGAACCATATGAAGATATAGTTTACAAACAGGGAATCACACACAGCTAGGATGGTCCAGAAAGGCTCCTGGCAG